AAAAGATGCCACGAATTCTATATTGAATATTGAAAATATCTTACTTATATTGCATTAATTATATTAAGTGGGGGAAATTAAAAAAAAAAAGGTAACAAGCTAACAGAGAATTTTCATTATATTTACGTTCTTTTACTAAGCATGATGGCATTCAGTTTAATTAAGCACTGTGTATGAATAAGAAAATAATTTAGCTACTAGCTAGTACTATATATGGTATGCTGGTGCCATAGAGACATAGACATCATTCATATATACACAGTGTTTGCTGAAGTATACGGTACTTTATGCATGTGGGCAAGCTTTCAGCAATTTTTTTCTTACTGTTCTATTTACAAATCACCATATATCTTTTAAAGAAAAAACAAATCAGCATACAAGAGAATATTAAAAAGAAAGAAAGAAAGCTGAACCATCATTTAGTGAAACATGAATTCATATATTGATATAAATATGATAAATAACTTCATTGCACCTCATTTATTTGCCTTTTTCTATATTAAGTTGACGGAAATATAACCAAAAATAATTGTTGAGACCGCTTGCCAATTATACAGATAATGTGTTTCAGCAGGACACGGCTTTGAATATATAAATAATGGGAAAATACTTTTTTATGTTGTTGGAGAAAGCATTTCTCATGTCACTCATACATCGATATGTGTGTATTGTTTTTTTTTTATTTTAATTTTTTAATGGTGGGACCTACCTTAAACATGTGTGTGTAGGAGAATTCTTTTTCTCATGTGAAAGGAGAAAAACAAAACCCATAAATAATACGAAAAACTTTTTTTTTTAATTAGATTTTTCTAGAGTTTTGCGAGAGGCTCTACTGTTAGAACGATGTTAAAAAAATCTCGCTAAGAAATCCAAGAAAGAAAAGGAAAAGAAGAATGAGAATGAAAAAAATATTCTATCAAAAAAGTTAGACCCTTTACCAAAATCTAATAATATAAGGGGCTTACTTTTCTGAGAAAAGTTTTTCTTCTTACAGGCATATGTTTTTGTAGGTGTTTTTTTTTAACAAAAAAGGACAGTTCAAAAATCAATGAATGTGAACCAGATTATTTTTCTGTCGTGTAACATGATAGTTACAATTTGATATATAAATGGGAAAACTTGAATAGCCTTGTGAAAAACAACATATTATTAGAGAATAAAATAAAAGCATTAAAAAGGCCATCACCTAAGATTTTAAAGTTTTTAATTGAAATGATTCTTTACGCGTACTGAGTCCGACTATATTTATTAGTGTAATTGAATCGGATTGATCCGATGGGGTGATTAATTTAGGTCACCGTTTGGATCAGGTATGCAGCCAACTCTTAAAGACCCGTCTGATTTTGTCCAGGTCTTGCCTACAAAGGAAAACATGTTTACCTCTACGGAGACGTTTGGTAGAAAGTACTTTCTAGGATTCTCGGAAAACTGATGATGATAATTTTATTTATCCACGTTTTATACAAGATTTTTAAATTTTTTCCCAGAATATGATGTTTTTCGAAATTTTATTTTGTGTATAAAATTTTCTGAAAATGCCATCTAAAAATACCATCGAGTATAGCATCAAGAAAATTAACTCAACATTACTGAGAATATTTTAGTCTATCAAATAACTTTTTGATAACATTTTTAATATTTCAATATTCCCGTTAAATTCATTTTATCACCATCTTTTTTTTGAAAATCGTGATTTCTGATTAAAACAAAAATTCTTTTCTACCGGACACCCATTGGGTGAAGAAAAATTGGAGCTTTGCGATCACGGGAAATAGAAGAACTGGAATGACGCTCAAGGGAACACTGGGGACGACCATGTGAACCACCTTAGCGACGATGGGCAATGAGCAAAGAGAAGAAAAAGAAAGGGAGAGTTACGGCTTAGAACAAAGAAAGTAACCTAGGACGGAAGGCAAGTGAATCAGACATGAAAAGCAAGGGTCACTCACATGATATTGAATTCAAAGGTGATAAGAATCAAAATTCAAACGTGGTGTTAAGCACGCAAGCCAAACTGCGTGGGATGGTGCGGTCCTGCAGAAGCCATGAGAAGAAGGATTTTTGGCCAATCAACAAGCATCGTCCGGATATGTGTTTTTTATTTCTTCCTATTAATGTTTTAAAAGTGAGATTGATCGTTGACTCGGTCGAGGTATTGAGTTACTGTAACATTGATCAACCGAATTTACTGATTACATATTAAAAAAATAGGAAGGTTATGATTATAACTTTTTTTTTTACAACCTCTTACAACCATATATCATAACCGTTGATTTCCGTCAATCAACAGTTGTCATTTATTATAAATTAATAATTAATTTTAGAGTTTAATTTGCGAAAATCATAAAATTATTTTTATATTTGTAAAAGAGATAAAATTATTTCATATAACATAAAAAATATTAAACCTTATATTTATTCTGTATTTGTGTTTTTTGTCATTACACTCTTTCCTTTTTAAAAAAGAGAGAGCAAAACTCTTTAAATTACTTTGCCATATAAAGTGGAAAACTTTTAAATATAATAGCTAGATATAACAGATCACATGAGGTGATATTAATTTATCATAAAAATTGTTCGCAAAAGCGGGTCTCTTTGCCTAATTAATATGGTCAAGTAAATAAAGAATATAAAAATAGAGACGCACAAAATTTTATGTGAAAATCCTAGAAAAACAAAAGGAAAAATCACAGAATGAGAGGTCCAAATCTTTACAGAAGTAGGGTGTGCATAACAACCTTCCCAGAATCAATTCTTTTTTAATTTTTGTTCCCGGGAACAGGAATGGATAGGAAACTCGTTTGGTAAAACCGGTTTATTTTTTTGTTCTCGGGATGAACCGGTTTAATTTTTGTGCTCGGGAATAGAAAAAAGAATCAAAAAGTTTCTGCTTTTTTGTTCCCGGGCACAAAATGAGAAACACTTATTTTTTCACAATTACTCTCCATCACTATCATCATCATCACCACCATCATCATCCCTACATGACCATTGCCACCATCGTCGCCACCGCCGTTGTACCACTAATGTCATCGTCACAACCACCACCACGACGATGTCGTCGTCACCATCATCATCACCACCACCACCACCACCACGATGTCATCGCCACCACCTCCACCATGCCACTGTCATCACCACCATTACCACCGCCGCCGCCACCACCATTCCACCACTACCATCGCCGCAACCACTGCCGTCACCACCGCAGCCACCGCCACCACCACATTACCACCATCATTGCCACAACCACTGCCATCACCACCACCCCCACCACCATCACTGCCGCCGCCGCCACCACTATCACCACCACGCCACCACCATGCCATCACCATTACCATCACCACGTCATCGCCACTGCCACACCGTCACCAACCACCACCACCACCACCGTCGCTGCCACTGCCGTCACCACCACCACCACCATGTCATCACCAACACCACCACAACTACCACGCCACCAATCACCACCATTGCCGCCACTACCACCGCCACCACTACCATCACCACATCATCGCCACTGCCACCACGCCACCGTCACCAACCACCACCACCATCGCCGCAGCCACTGCCATCACCACCACCACCGCCGCCACCACTACCACCACCACTACCACCACCACTATTACCACCATCATTGCCACAGCCACTGCTGTCACCACCACCATCATATTACCATCACCACGTCATCGCCACTGCCACACCGCCACCAACCACTACCACCACCATCGTCGCAGTCACTGCCATCACCACCATCACCACGTCATCACTAACACCACCATGCCACCACTATCACGCCACCAACCGCCACCGCCGTCGCCACTACGACCACCACCATCGCCGCAGCCACTGCCGTTCGTACCACCGCTGTCGCCGTCGCCACCACCGCTGTTGTCGTCGCCACCACCGCCACCATATGAAAAGGAAAATAATGATCCAAAAAAAATTATGCTTGATAGGAATTATTTTTTATTATATTATTTGTTGTGTTATCAAACGCAATTCTCATTCTCAGAATATAAATATAACATGTTATCAAACATATTTTTTTCTTAGAAACTGTTCCAAGGCACAGAAATAGAAAAGAATTGTTTCTTTTCAGAAACAGTGCCAGAAAACAGAATGGTTGTCATGCACACCCGTAGTGTTACGAGAGAGTATTTTCTTTCTCTAATAAACACCTCATGTACTATCCAGCAGATGAATTACAATCTCTTAATTAAACTTATTACTCAACCGTGGCTCTCTCTATTGTAGGATCGATCTTCTTGCTTTTAGAATGTTGAATTGCTTGATGTTTCAACCCAATTCTTCTTCTGTTTATAGATGACCAAATGACCACTTTTCTATTCTCTAGAATATTACTCACTAATTAATTAAGGAATTCACAAAGATTTGCAAAGATTTATTTTCCCATCCATAAAAACTTGTAGCTTATTACATTATTCCAATGCTACATTGGAACTGTGTACTCAATTATGTTTTATTTTACCTAAGGAGAAACCCAACAAAAATAAATTTAAGAATAAATATTATTTTTGGTCCTCAGCAAATTTCATGATGTCCGTTTTAATCCCTAACATATAAAAAGACTCATCGTGGTACCTAAAAAATTCAAAATGGACACATGTTAATCATTTTGAGGATTAATATGGATCTTTTTTAAATTTGTGAGGGATCACGATTTCAACTAAATGGATTCATTTTGAATTTCTTAGAAACCACTATGAACTTTTTATTTACTAAGAACAACATCGTCTGACAACCAAAAAAGTATTTACTCTGAATATTGCGCCAATGTAATCTCGGGGGCGCTAACCTGATGATGATGGACCGATCAGCAGTTTTGAATATTTTAATTTAAATAGTACTGCTGTATAGAATGTAACATAACCCCATCTACATGACAACGTCTCATCACGTGGCATTTCACCCTTCCCGATTATGCAACTTGCCTTTAGCATCATCTCTTCAATTCCTTAGACTCGGCCATGGTTATTGAAGAAACCCAACAATTAAAAGATTCATAAGTATACCAAAAAGTAAAGGAAAAGAAAGATCATATATGGGGATCGTGGAAGAAGCTCATAACGTGAGAGTAGTTGGAACAGGGAATCAAATTGTGGTACTGGCTCATGGCTTTGGAACAGACCAATCCGTGTGGAAGCACCTCGTACCTCATCTAGTTGATGTTTATCGCGTGATTCTATATGACAACATGGGAGCCGGTACCACAAATCCAGACTATTTCGACTTTGAACGATACTCCACGCTCCAAGGCTTTGTGTATGATCTACTCGCCATTTTGGAAGAGCTTCAAGTTCAATCATGCATCTTCGTTGGTCACTCTCTTTCAGCTATGGTGGGTGTCCTCGCTTCAATCTCTCACCCTCACCTCTTTTCTAAGCTCATCTTAGTCTCCGCCTCTCCAAGGTAATTAAACCAGTACCGCAACTTTCTCATTAAGCTTAAGTGTTATGTGAAGATTACACTTTTTCATATATAATTTCTCTAATATTTTTTCACAAGATCTTTGAACTTGAAATATAAATATTGTATATGTTCTTTTTTTTTACCTCATAATTATTTAATTTTATTAAAAAGTGGTGGACGATGATCAAACTCGTGACCACACAAGACAGCTCTAATACATGTTAGGGTAAAGATTACAATAATAATTATTTTAAATTTAACTTAATATATTCATTCACAAAAAAAATCTATTGAATTTGAAGGATGAACGTGATTATAGTTTTCAAGGGTGGACATGATCACGCTTCACGCAGGATCTCAAAAGTAGCTATAAGTTTATTTATTCTCCTTATTTCTAGCTTTATTTTTTGGGTTATAGTAAATAGAGCCTAATTTAATATTGCTATAGGTTTTTGAATGATGCAAATTATTATGGAGGGTTCCAGCAAGAAGAACTGACACAATTGTACGATGGGATTCGATCGAATTACAAAGCATGGTGTTCGGGGTTCGCACCGCTGGTGGTTGGTGGCGATATGGAGTCGGTGGCGGTGCAGGAATTTAGTAGAACATTATTTAACATGAGGCCTGATATAGCAATGAGTTTGGCCCAGACCATATTCCAATTTGATATGAGGCAAAATTTGGGCCTGGTCACCGTGCCTTGCCACATCATACAAAGCACAAAGGACTTGGCCGTACCAGTTGTTGTTGCTGAATATCTGCGACAGAGCCTTGGGGGAAATCCATCGTGGAGGTCATGCCCACGGAGGGTCACTTGCCACAGTTGAGCTCGCCGGATATTGTAATTCCGGTGCTGCTCAATCACATTCAGCACGATTTGGCATAGTCAAAATGATTGACTCAAATAATATAATTACTTTTTTTGGTATCCTACATGGAGCCAACAAATTATTTTAGTTACAGCAAAAAATTTTAGCTGGTACCAAAATAGCTATGGTTATATAGTTACGTTTAAAATGCGGCTAATTTTTAAAAAATTTGAAATATGATTTGCTACGTTTATTTAGTTATGCTTGAAACGTGACTAAATTAACCAGTGTTAAGGTACCTTCTGGCACCAACGTGGCTCCGTCACTATATACTGGCATAGTTTTTGGATAAGGTATATTTATCACCCAATGTTAAGATCCAAATCTTACCTAAATCGGGAGTGAAAAAAATCGTAAATAGTAAGATTGACACAAATCGTAAAATTGTACTTGTGTAAATAAAATATTAAAATCACGTGAATTTTTAAAAAAGATTTTTTTTCTACGAATATAGGGTTAACCTTTTGTATTTTAAAAGGGGGTAACTTATTGTTTTTTAAATTTTAAGTATGAGAAATATTTAATTAACTAAAACTGTATTGACACATGAAAAATTTATATTATTTTATATTTTATTTATTTAAAAAATAGATAGAAAGTATATTAATAAAGGTTAGTAATTAAAATTTTCTTTTTATTACAAAATAAATTTTTGAATCTAAGTTCATCCCACATCCAGCAAGTCCAATCTTTTCAAAACGCTACTTTAAGATAAATGAAAACTCTAGCTTTCAATTTTGACTCTTTTGAGGGAGAGTCGCAAGCATCGTCGTACAAGAGTTGAGTTGCATATACATTGCAGTTTGCACAGATATAGATGCTTTGCACCAGAGGCTCTCGCCAGAGAGAGATGCTTGAATGCAAAGAAAGTTGCTTATGTAGCGTAGGTGGGGCTCGCATTCACCAGGTGCTCTATTCGTTCAATTCTTAAAGGGTCCGTATCTACAACAAAAATGTTATTTTATGGCAGTTTGTTATACACTTAGAGGCAATTTAAACCGACGTAGAAAAATTCTGCGGCTTTTGAAAACTGACATTAAATTTGGCTCCATTAACTAATTTCACGTCAATTAAGAGAACCGACGGAATAACCGCCATTAGACTCGACGCTATACCCCACAAAACCGCCGTGAAAAAAAAGTGATGGGACAAACTTATAATGGCAAATTTCAGCTATACTTTTATGTTATATTTGTTCATACCATTACACAATACTTTTATGTTATATTTGTTCATACCGTTAAACAATACATATTATTAAGGGAAATACTTTTCTTATGTTATAGAAAAATAATTACCTCATGTTGTCGAAATAAAATTATAAGTGAGACCCACAGGTAAGAGGAGAAAGAAAAAAAGTAGTAGACGAAACCCTTTTTTGAGTGTCTAGGAAAATTGTTTATCTCATGTAAAATGAGATAAACTTAACCCTATTATTAATTGATAAAATATTTAAGCCCGTTCATATAATATCACCAAATTTTATAACATCCAATGCAATCCAAAAATAAAATCAAAATATCTTGCATTGACAAATAATAGATCCAAATATATGATAAAACAAAGTAAATATGTCTTTTACAAATTAAACAAATAAAATCAAAGTACAATAAAATTACAAATGTTTAAATCTAAATAATCTGCTATTGCTTATGACTTGTATAATATGAAGAAGGTTGGTCACAAGATTTAGCTCGGCTATCTGCATAAAAATCCAAGGAAAACATTTTCAGTCAACACATCAAAAAATGATAAGATACTTATAACGAAAAATTATAACTTACTGATCATTAATAAGAATAGTTAGTTCACTAGGTAGAAAATCATTACTTGGCCAAAAGAGTAGAATCAATGATAGTTCAAGTGTGGGGCCCTATAAATACTTCTAAAAATATAAGTGGTCACTTTTACAACAATGAAAATAAATGTATACCTTTTGAAGAATGCAAGCCATACCCTCCAATCCAAGCGCACTATCTATGTTCTTCTGCTTTAGAGGTTCAAGAGAACCATAATATTTTTTGTTGTATTGCATCAATACTAGATTGTAGAACTCTATAAACCTTGTATCATCACCAAGATCTTGCTTTCATCCCCCTACCCAACCCACAAAATGTAAAAAATGAATATAAAATATTGTCAATCTCGTACTATTTCATACCTATGGCATCTATATATCCCCCCTCAGGATGAAAATCATAATAAATTTCTGAGCAAGGACCACATAGACCTGTCACTCCACTGGTCCAGAAGTTGTCCTCTTCACCCAACCTTTTTATACTATCAACCTGAACATCAACCTGAACAGAAACGAAGAACATTAAGTTTAAGATATCGTTCAGCATAGACCCAATATACTTGGCTAAAACTTAAAACGATGCTAAAGGAAATAAATTTTTAGCTAACCTCGTCAGACTATAGCTAAAAAGCCTCATTATCATCTTCATAAACACTAACCCATAATCTGTCAGCTGGCAAACCAAACCTAAAAGTAAAAGACATGTTAGGGTGAGTTGTAAAGAGTGATGAATAATGAAGGAAATGGCGTAAATAGTTACTCTATGGTAGAAAGCTCCCATGCCCATTGAATAGCTTATTTTTGAAGCTTGATGCGAGAGAGTTAATAGGGCTGTAGAATATGAACAGAAGGAGAAGATGGCATACCTTACCTTGCCAAGGAAGATAGGCTTGAATTGAAGCATCCCTGCGATGGTAAGTGGAACAATGGGATCATCTGGGACAAGAAAAGCATTAGGAAGGACTTTGTGGCCGCGACAAGCATAAAATAATGCAAAGGGCTTTAACATAAAATAAACAGGGATCCATAGAAGAAGGCTGAAGAGAAACCACATTACTAGGCCACAACATTGGGAACACAAGTGACCTTATCTCCATCGTTGCAGTAGCCAATCACAAGGGAGAGAATAAGATTCTTGTCTCCATACCTACCAATAGAGATTTTTGCTTATCTCCAACCAAGAAAGTGTTTGCCAGCTTGCAATAACTCCCAAGAGCCAATTCTCTCAAGAACCTTCCCACCGACAGCTTCATGGAACCAAGGAATTGTTATTAGGCTTTAGACCATTTACATTGTGGGCCTTCACACCTCGTGACGAGGACTGTTTTGATGGGGGAAGGGGTGTTGTACCCCAAGTCATTAGGCTGAGAGAGAACAAGCTCATTCGCACTGAGAGAAGACCTGCATATTTGTTGGACTATTTTCAATAGTCAAGAAGGCCCAATTTCATGAAATTCTATTTTAATAATTTTTGTTATTTTCTGATGTAATTAGGATAATTAGGTTTATTTTCATGGTTATCTGGTTTTATTTTCATTGACAAAACTTATTCTACATAGTTTATTTTCAAAATAATTTTTTTTATTCTGTATAATACCTATCATTAAACCATCGTTGTCTTCTCGGTCAAAATATAATAACTATGGAAACATCATTAAAAAAAGATCATTTACAAACATAACAGATTAATGTTTTTGAAATAATTAAAATTTTATGAAATCAAGTACAACAATAGTTTAAATACGTACATTAATAATTTACAATGTACAAAACAAAACAAAAAAGTATTTTTAAACCAGTAAAAACAGGAGACAAATAAATTAGAAACAACTCCAAAATGCAGTAGATTATATGTTCAGGTAAGGGCATTACGCCCAATGCCAATCTTGTAATAATATGCTTCATTTATTTTTTTATTTTATTTTTATTTATTTTATTTATAAATAAAAAAATGGCTACTTCTTCTATTGTTTTTGGACATACAGATCGTAAATAAGCTCGTTGTCTCCTTAACAATGCCAAATTGGTACATTTACCTACATACATAAAAAAATATTGTGAATTATTTTTTGGGTGCATTGAAATTTGATAACTTACTTTGGCTCCCTAACATGCAGTAAATTAGAAACAACCCCAAACTGTAGCTGCAACAAAAGTATCATCCCTGATCTCTGAGAGTACAATTATGGTGAGAGCTGGAATCCACACTTGTTGAAAGATAAGATTGTGTCCTTCCTGGTATTAACCACACCATTATTCATGTCAACAAGTAACACTAGAACAATCATAAATAAATACCCATTGATTCTTTCATGATAGTGTTTGAATGCACACTTCAAATGACGAAATGTCAATACTCAATGTTCTACATCATACTTATCCATATTTGTTTTCACTAATTTAAAAGCATAGATTAATTTTCCATACAAAATTAAGCTTAATGACACATTCATACAGGAAGTGACTCACTTGTACTGAAAATAAAAATGCATAAACTGAAATGCATGTTTCACATCAGAATTGGAGCTAGCATTATTCACGTATATTCTAAGTACTTATTACCTGCTAAGACTATACCATTACTCTTAACAACATCGTCAGTTCCTAAAGCCATTGTCAGGAATATATACATGACTTCAATGACTCGGTCCACAAAATCTAAAGAGCAATTTCATCAATAGCCAAAGGATGTATTTCACACCGTAAGTGTTCCCATTTAGGCCCTCTTAACACTGGCAAAAACAGGGGCATCCACCAACATCAAATTGTTAGCTTCAAAGGAAAGGCATCAAGAATGCTAAATGTTCTATTACTACTAAGAGAACCATAGTACCTGAAATGAAATCGTTAGTTCAAAATATAAAGAAAAAATGGAACCAATACAACACAGGCTACATAAATAACGCAACAAATATTGCAAATAAATAAATATAAAAAAACTATAAGAAGGCTAGATATACTACAATAACATGCCGTTTAATGTTTAATGTTCAACTATATATTGCATCAATTGAGAGATAGACTTGATGCGTTGATCTCTTTAATCAATGACACATTACCCTACCCCTATGCATTCAACTGCCATGCCACCCTCAGCAGCACTAAATTCACATTATGGCCCCTTCACCCCTTCATACCCCACTGCTCCAAGTGTTCACTTCACCCAAAATTTCCTCCTCTATAGTGCGTAAGCTTAAGATAATTTTATTGGATTTTTAGCACAAGCAAAAATTTGGAGAATACCAGGCTTCGAAATGATACCAAAAATCATATTGAAAACAATAACAAAGGAAAAATCACCTCAAAGCAACCATGTACTGGGCCTCTGCCACAACCATATTTCTTCAAAGGTGGATCTAACAAACTGAACGAAAATTACAGTCTAATAAAGAGAAACAAAAGCAGATCAAAAACAGAATCTCAAACCATAATGAAGCTCCAAGTTGAAATTCATGTAAGCGGCTAGGGTTTATGAAAAGGAAAGGGAAGAACAAAGTCATAAAATAGATCAAAATTTGATCATTGATACGTCCGAGAGCATTTGCGAAAGAACATATGAAAGGGCAAACTCATCATTGTTACAAATTGGAAATAAACTAGCTTTATTTGAGATCAATCGGTACAACCACATCGAATCAAATCGCGTGATTGCGTAAATTAGATCTAAATCTAGAAGAAAAAAAATTAAAAGCACAAAATGGATTTGAGAATATATAGAGGAACCTTTTATCGATGGGATTGGTGTTAATGGTGGCTTTTGGCATGGAAACACTAGAGAGAAATGAACAATGAGAAACTCAAGGTTTTTTTAGACTTAGCTTCAAGAAAAAAGGAAAAAAATGAGATATGTAAGTGGGATACTTAGCATCAGGAGAGAGTGAAAAAAACTTTCTTAGGGGCGTACTTAATTGCTAGATTTACGGTCGGTTTCTAAAACAGCCACTAGGACACCGCCTCTATATCGCGGATTTCTTGTAGTGAGAAGAGAAGTGGGTTCTTTTTTCACATATCGTTTGGGAAAAAAAGTACGATCCCATCGTTTTTACAATGTAGCTCGGCGATCTGGTACGATCCTAGCCACAACAATCCTACAAACCGAGTAGAATCGTCCATATCTAAAGAACTCGTAGGATGTTACGATGCTACTAGTTAGCACAGGATAACTATAGATAGTGGTCAGTAAAACATGACGAGAGGAAGTGATTGAAGAGGAGAAAGAAAATTCGTATCAAATGACAATCATTGATTTAATTTCATCCAACGGTTATAATAGAGGTGGTAAACTTAATTTGTGGTAAATATAACATCTCCCATAATTTTTTTGTTTTCACTATCATTTTATATTTTTTTCCTCACTTGATTGAATATTTCACATCTCTTAGACACCAAATTAATGATGAACAAGTTTTTAGTTAAAAAAATATATTAATTAATTAGTGGATTGATAGCTTGTTATTTAAGTAAAATTTATGTTATTAGTTCATTAACTAATTAATAGATGTGATTAACTAATAATTTATTCATTATTAATCCATATAGGCTAGGTATGAAATTTCAAAGTTTACTATTTGTAATTTTCGTCATGAAAATCTGAATCCAGTTGTGGCTTGCAAGTAGAGGTGGCAAAGTGGGTGACCATCCCACCCCGCCATCAACCCTTCAAAAAATGAGTCATCCCGTCCCGTCCCGTTTTTGAAAGTGGCCTGAAAAACTCGATCTGACCCGACCCGCTTTTAAAAGTGGAATGAAAAACTCAATCCGTCCTGCCCCGTTTGGCGAGCTAGGCAGGTTGGCCCGTCAGCTTAAGTCTATTTTACACTTATCCGCCTCGGCTCATCTATGATCGTCATCAACCCGCCCCGCTTTTGAGATTGATTAAAAAACTCAACCTGTCTGACCCCATTTAACCAATGGGACAGATTAACCAGCTGAGTAAAGCGCATTTTGGCAGCTGTAGTTTTGCAAGTAGTGTTTCTAGCTTTCGTACTTCAAGAAGAAAGGACAAGTTGTTTTGGTAGGGGCAGGGACATAGTTCAATATATAGTACATCTTTCATCTTTGAGTAAAACGCATGCCATTTTCCTTGATGGCCATATTCGGAAGCACAAGTATTTGTAAAATATAAAATAGTGTGCGCCTGTGTGGATGTTGTAATAATGTAATATACTAAAGCTTTTTTTTCTTTTTTTTCTGGATGTTATAATATACTTAAGTTTTTTTTTTGGGATATATATACTTAAGTTTGTTAATTACAATTCGAAATTAAGTTTGAGTTTAAATTAGGGACAAATTTATATTGTTAGAATATTGTGTTACCTATACGGCTGTACCCAAAAAAAAAAATTATACATATTTAGAGAGGAATAATAAGTTTTAACTATGAGTAATCTCCGACTCAAAATTAGTCTTATAGACGGCTAAAAAAGTTAAAGCTTTTGGAAATACTCAATATCGACTAAGTAATTACAGTCGGTATGCCAAAAAAGAAAAAAAAAACTACTTTACTCGGGTATCTAACTTTTTTATCTGTTTAAAATTTATTATTAATTACTCATCTAATGATTTAAAGAATAATATAAACAGGAAGAAAAGAATATATTCATTTATTAATCATGTAGATTAACGAACATAAAAAGAAATTGTAAATGCTCCTTAAAGTAATTAATTATAAGTTATTTCTCAACTTTTCATGTATTTTATTCACGTTGAATATTTTATTTATTTATCAATCTGTTATTTCGATTAAAATAAATCATTTACAAACTACTCTAACCGTTAAAAAAAAGATATAAATCGATAAACTCATTGTGTCCGTCAATATGTAGATATAAATAAAATAATTTATGTATCTTAAAAAAAAAAATTACATACTGTAATCGATAAAATTATGTATATATAAAAGCATTGATATAATAAATGCTATTTTAATTTTTAATAATAGTTTACTAGTTGTATTATAAAAGTTTATATTTGACTTTAATTAATAAATAATTGAGTATATAGATAATTTAGTCTCTAAATATATTATATTCTCACAATATGTTAGTATATACATTTTTTTTTGGTGTAGATATACATTTATTTATACGTATGAGTTACTGTTTAAATTTATAAGATTATTCATATTAGGTTTGTTTTTTAAGTTCACGTACCAAAGATCAGTGTATTAGAATAACTAACATAACATGAATTTTATAATTTTTTTTTTTAGGTGAATTTTATAATTTTTAAAATTGATTCGTAAACATACGCAAATTTTTGAAGAACGGACTATATAAAAATGAGATATTTCCAAGCACTAAGTTGTCCCATTTAATCTTAAACAATTTTATTATCTGCCATGAAAGTTATCTACCTCAAATTTAGAATGATCAATTAATAAACCCGAACCGCTAATTGTCAGTGTCCCCTTTTCCACCAACATTATCAAGTACCCCGTGAATTTTTTATGATGTTATAGTTGTCGTACTCGTATCTTCCCCACTGTCGTGAATCATGTGACTCTTACACACGATTTAAATGAAAAAAGAGGGGCCAGAGGCCGATAAAGTTCTGCTCCTGAAAATTGAAACTCACAAGAAAGTTCCACTAAAAGAAGGGAACAGAAAAACAATAAAGAAATAATAAAAAGAGATGAAGCGCATGGAAAATTATTAATGACTAAGGTGTGAGTTCTATACTTTAAAGGCAATTATGCCTGTTGATTATAATTTTATTTTATTTTATCGGTGGTGGCTTTCGATATTTAGTGTGTGTTTAGAAATTCTTTTTTTTAGCTTCTCTCCTTATAAGTTCAAGCTTAACCAGTAATGTAATGTCACGAATGGATGAAGCAAGCACTTTTGGATGGTATTGATCAGAGCCAATCAAGCCTTTTCCCTGATTATCGTCACTTAAATCCCACTAGCCGAAATAGAATCCGTCAAGAGATAAGCCAGAGATCCAGATCATTAGAATACGTCACCGGCCCAATCATGATATTGAAGGATGGGCCTTCTCGCGAAAAAGAGTAGATTATTCCAATCACTAGAGTAGTAGTGCCAGCCGCACAAGGATAAAGTAGCTAAGCGCTAAGAAGCTATTTAAATAGTTTCCAACGGAGAAGAGTTCTTTTTGTAAAAGACTAGTGAATTACCCGTGCTGATGCACGGGAAAAAAAATTGGTTTGTTTGGCATGGTGGGTCGGCCCTTCGGGCCGAACTCATTTTGTCAGTATTTCAAAAGTCCCAAACAGTCATTTTTTTAAATAACAAAACAGTCATTCATTGTTACATTAAAAATATGAAAGAAAATAAGATAATAAAGGTCATATATTTGAAGATAGATAAGGAAAAGAGAAGCGAATAAACAGTCATTTTTTTTGTCTTTACCTGTACCATACAACGAAGTTATATCTTTGAAGAAAGAGCCTAATATACTATAGCAGTATTTGAAATACTTCCTTGTAAACTATATTAAGGGTACTATTCGTAATGCAGCCATTTTCATCTAGTATCAATATCTTCAATCTATGCTTACTCTTTACTCTAGACAGTGCCACATATAATTGCCCATGAGTGAAGACAGGCTTAGGGAGATAAATTGCAACATGTGAAAGTGATTGTCCTTGACTCTTGTTGATAGTCATGGCAAACGATACAATCAGGGGGAATTGTCTTCTTTGGAAATTTACAGGAAATGTATGACTCGATGGGCTCATCGTCATTCTAGGGATTAACACAGTTTCCCCTATATTGCTTCCTGTAAGTACAATTGCCTCAACAACATGATTCCCTAATTTTGTAATAAGCAATCTCGTGCCATTGCATAAACCTCTCGACTGATCAATATTTCTTAATAGCATTACTGGAACTTTAACTTTCAAGATTAATTTATTATCAGGAATCCCTGAGCATGATAATGTATTTAAGATCTCAGGGGTGATTTCATCATCCTCAACAGAGGAAGTCCCACCTTGCTTAAGAATTTTATCTGAACTCAAAAAAGTCATTTCTTCACCAGGAATCATAGACATTAGGTGCTCGTTTAACATAGCAACATCGGACAATTTAGGAGTTAGAATAGCACGTTTTTTAAAGAAGGTCTGATCCAAAATATTATCCAAGAGATTCGGATAAACAAAATTAACCATATCCGACAGCGGATCTTCCGATTCTCTAATCAACAATTCATCTGGAATTGTTATAATAGATTCTCCATCAACATCATCTCCAAGATTACCATCCCCAACTTTAAGTAGCCACTCAGAAAATTCTTTTATTTCCTCTAAATTGTGAGCGCTACTTCCAGAATTAAGACGCATGTTCTTGGTCAAAGTTAATAAATGACAATGGGACCATAGATGAGAAGAATTGATGGTTGCATGAACTATATCTTGTCTGCTGCCATGAGGAATGACAAATAATATTTGCCGAAAGTCACCTCCTAGAACAACAACTTTTCCACCAAATGGCATATCAACACAGCTTGTATCAGAAATTCTAAGAAAATCTCTTAGTGTCCTATCCAGAGCCTCAAAGCAAAATCTATGTACCATTGGAGCTTCATCCCAAATGATTAACTTTGTTTTTGACAGCAACTCAGCTATAGTAGATTTCGGCCTTATATTACACCTTGAATCTTCATTTATTTGAATAGGAATACGAAATCTAGAATGCGCTGTTCGTCCTCCATGAAGCAGAAGGGAAGCAATTCCGCTAGAAGCAACATTAAGTACGACTCCAGCTTTTGATCTAATAGATGCTAAAAGAGTATTCCAAATAAATGTTTTTCCTGTACCACCGAACCCGTATAGGAAAAATAACCCTCCATTACCTGCCGTAACTGCTGAAACAATTTTATCATAAACAGCTTTCTGCTCATCAGTGAGGGAATTAATTAGTCTTTTATGCTCCTCTTCCAAAGCAAATCTGTCATACATTAATTCATCCAACACTAATCGATTTTGCATATCAAGCAAAGTTTCACTATTGATGCGTGGCATTGACGGATAATCAGAGAGGCATTTCCCATTGCTCTGCAGTACTTTATCAATTTCTTCAAGAGTTATGTTTTTTATAGACTCTTCTGTAAGAATTGCATCTGACAAAGCATAAAATTCAAAGGAAAAAAAATTAAAAAATTAACAAAGATAAAGTAATCAAAGAAAGAAAAGAGAGCGAAATAAGTACTAAAGCATCATTTGCTGAATGCGGGCAAAAAAAAAAACAAAATAAGCACTAAAGCAACATTTGCTGAATACGGGCAAAAAAAGCTAATAAGTACTAAGGCAGCATATGCTGATTTCGGTTAAACAAAAAAAAAATTGTATGAAATATTATTATAACACGTACCTTGGCGTCCTATTCTTTTCCTATGCCGATAAACAACGTCGTCGGATAAAAATTTCCAACACTCTTCCCAAACTATTTCAGGTCTGTTCATTGAGTTGGCAAATAACAACAGAGCAAACAGACATCTAAGATAAGCAGCAGATCCCCAGGAACTTGCCTCCTTAATTGCATCAATGTACTCATTGTCATCATCCAGAAGTCCTAAAGAATAGCACGCATCCTTAAATGTAGGAAAAACCACACCATTGATCGTTCTAAGATCTTCATAACTGGTGCAACCTCTTTGAAAATTAAGCAAGGTGCGAAGATATGAATCTTCTCCATTATTGGCAGAAAAACGATTTATCCTTCCAATGGAAAATCCTTTTTTTCTCGGATTCCATTCATGCGTTTTTTCTTTGAAAACAAATTCAGTCGGGTACTCTCCATAAGTTAGATGTCTACCTTCTGGATATTTTTTATTTGCATCCATCCAAGACTCAAAAATTGACAGTCTAGACTCCGCCCTTGTCTTTACATCATACAACGAATCATTATCACTGAAAATAATGTTCTTTTCATTAGGCAAGTGAAATGGCAATCTCTGAACAGGGGGATAAAACACTCATACCTGATTCCACTGAATCAAGAGGTTAATAAAAGATTTAAATTTAAAAATCTGAAAATAAGGAACAAAGGTCGGGATATTTATAATTTTTTTTTTTTACTAATTAATTTTTTTTGAGTAAATAGAATTGTATTCTTTAAAAAATGTGAAGTTTTTGAATTAAACTGAATAAAGATTTAAAAAACAAAGATAACGACAAAGAGTGATTTAGTAGTTATAAATCAATGAATATCCCGTTTTTTTAACAGTCATTTCATGGAATAAAACAGTCATTTGTTTTAATAACAATGAATATCCTGTTTTTTTTTTCAAAAAACGTAAAGATTTGAATTAAACTGAATAAAGGTTAAAAAAACGATTAGATTACATGATCAACATCAATTATAACAAAGATGACGACAAAAGAGTGATTCAGTAGTTATAAATGAGATTTTCATGAAATAAAACAGTCATTTGTTTTAATAACAATGAATATCCCTTTTTTTTTTTCAAAAAACGTAAAGATTTGAATTAAACTGAATAAAGGTTAAAAAAAACGATTAGATTACATGATCAACATCAATTATTTAAAAAACAAAGATGACGACAAAAGAGTGATTTAGTAGTTGTAAATGAGATTTTCATGGAATAAAACAGAAGTTTTTTCTAATAACAAAACACACATACCTGATTCCACTGAATCAAGAGGTTAATAAAAGATTCAAATTTAAAAATATGAAAATAAGGAACAAAGGTCGGGATATGTATAATTATTTTTTTTTTTACTAATTAATTTTTTTTCGAGTAAATAGAATTGTATTCTTTAAAAAATGTGAAGTTTTTGAATTAAACTGAATAAAGATTTAAAAAACAAAGATAACGACAAAGAGTGATTTAGTAGTTATAAATCAATGAATATCCCGTTTTTTTAACAGTCATTTCATGGAATAAAACAGTCATTTGTTTTAATAACAATGAATATCCCGTTTTTTTTTCAAAAAACGTAAAGATTTGAATTAAACTGAATAAATGTTAAAAAAAACGATTAGATTACATGATCAACATCAATTATTATAAAAACAAAGATGACAACAAAAGAGTGATTTAGTAGTTATAAATGAGATTTTCATGGAATAAAACAGAAATTTTTTCTAATAACAAAACACTCATACCTGATTCCACTGAATCAAGAGGTTAATAAAAGATTCAAATTTAAAAATCTGAAAATAAGGAACAAAGGTCGGGATATGTATGCATGTTTTTTTTTTACTAATTAATTTTTTTTTCGAGTAAATAGAATTGTATTCTTTAAAAAATGTAAAGTTTTTGAATTAAACTGAATAAAGATTTAAAAAACAAAGATAACGACAAAGAGTGATTTAGTAGTTTTTTTTAACAGTCATTTCATGGAATAAAACAGTCATTTGTTTTAATAACAATGAATATCCTGAAAAAACGTTTTGAATTAAACTGAATAAAGGTTAATTGTCTTCTTTAAAAAATGTACAGTTTTTGAATCAAACTTATTTAAAAAACAAAGATGACGACAAAAGAGTGATTTAGTAGTTATAAATGAGATTTTCATGGAATAAAACAGTCATTTTTTCTAATAACAAAACACTCATACCTGATTCAACTGAATCAAGAGGTTAATAAAAGATTCAAATTTAAAAATTTGAAAATAAGGAACAAAGGTCGGGATATGTATAATTTTTTTTTTACTAATTAATTTTTTTTTCGAGCAAATAGAATTGTATTCTTTAAAAAATGTAAAGTTTTTGAATTAAACTGATTAAAGATTAAAAAAACAAAACGATTAGAACCTACTTACATTCGGTTCAGTTAAAAAATAAACAGAGATGTAAACAAAGGAAATTGAAGTTAATAAGGTTAATATAATTAAAGTTAAAATTTGTAGCTTGTGATGTTAAGATGAGTACGGATATTGTGTTTGTTTGGAAAACAAAAGAAATACTTGAATTCCAGTTATTAACGTTAATAAAAATAAAAGAGTGAATTATATCCCTTACACAAACAATGAATTATTTTTTTTCTTAAAAAGAAAAGCGCAAACGAATACATTAATAAACACCACGTAACATTTTGTTTTTGTTGTACTCAACATAGCAAAACATCACAAACTTGGACATTTAATAAACGTAAGTTAAAAAAGATGCAAACACTTAAAGATGTAACTCCAACAAAAAAAATGTCTATGCAAGAGTTTGTCAAATAAACATCATGTCCCAAGACGCAAAATAACACTCTTCAGTCACAGCAGCCCAATCTACAGCGTACTCTCATCTGCCTCTGCATCAAATCTATTTAAAAAAATAAAGAAAAAATAAATTATCACTGTTTTCACTTCGCGTAAGAAAAAATACATATAAACACAAATGAATTTTAAATAAAAATATAAGAACCACAGTACGTAACTCCTTTTCAAGCTTTATTTTCTTTGTCGGCCGAACAGCTGAAAATTTAAATTCTCCAGCAATGGAATCATGAGAAGTGAGCACAGGTGTCAACATCGTCAGAGAGACATCACTAACGTCAGCACTGTCACAGGTCTGACTTTCAACATCCTGTGTTTTTTTTTTTTTTTTTTTTTCATATAAAAAAGGTATGTCAAATATGTATTTATATATTTTTAATAACATGAATCTAAATCGAATTCATAGCTCACCGCAGCCTTTTCCAGTTCCGACGAAACAACTTCATTTTCGCGTGCATTATCGAAATTTGCTTCATCCTGTGATAGACAACAACCAACAACAGTAAATATAATGTATAAGAAAAATAGTTATCTAAAAGAAATATATAAGCAGCATACATTTGGATCTATAAGAGACTTAATGAACGCTGAGATTATGTCTTCGCTGATACAAATTTTGGAAACTTGATATTTGGGCTCACTATTTGTGTTCAAATCCTTTTGCTTAACATTTATCTTGAACAACATTGACTTTTCATTCAGAACATTTAACTCATTTGGAAATTGATCCAAATCGGCACCCTAAAAAAAATGAAAAGGGAAAAAAAATTATTCTAAAAAAAAAAGAACAGAACATAGACAGCGCAAACAGAGAGCACAAAACGACAAAAAATACATTTTAACCATAACACAGCAATTAAAAAACAAACCCTCTTGAAATGCAGCTCGCGCAATTCAGCAGCACTCATTCCCAACAAAGACACACAGTCGCGATCAAACAGAATAAAGGATGCGGAATCTGTGTTATCCACAACTCTGACCTGAACACTAAATCTGGAGTTTTGCGAAATTGTATATCAGCAACGTACATGAATGATACGGATTAAAGACAGGTTATAAACTAAGAAGAATATTTTACCTCGGATAATAATCTTCCCAATGTTTTTGGCAGTTCTTACAATACCACTTCTCAAAATCCTCATAAACGGAAAATGGACACTTTTTGCATGACTTGTACCACCAGTTGTATTTGCTCTCAATTGCCTTTATAGTCCCGTATGTGATGCAGGTAGTTACCTTAATTAAAGCAATCGCAGTTTAACATAAAATATCATCAATACAAAATTGACAGAATTAAAGGAAATTAAAAATTAAAGAAAAGTAAAAATAAAATTTGAACATTTACCTCAACACAAAGTTTCACATCACTGATAGACTTTTTTTCAGTCTCCTTAAGAAAATCATTTTCGAAAGAATAGGATGACTGAGTAGACAATTGAGTCATCCTTGTACTACTTTCCACACCATCAATCGAGAGACTATAACGCAAAAATTAATAATTAAAAAATCAAAAAATATGAAAATCCATTAATCAATAACCGAATAAATGAGCTGAAGAGAGAAGGTACACACCGTTTTTTGAACTCAACAATCTCATTCAGTTTTGAATCCATTACAATCCTTGTTGTATATTTTGTATTTGTTATCCCGACCTTACCTATTGAGTTAAAAGGTTCAGATAAACATTGAATACAAAAGCAAAATTAATTAAAATAACGTGCATAAAAACTGATTATAAAAGCAAAAATTAAAACAACGTTGTTTGGAAAAAACATACCTCTAAAACACTTAATCCTTCCCAGTTGGACTATCAGGACGTTATGAGGATCGTCGTTGTCTGCCAAAAAAGATTGGACCTCATCCACATAATGCTCCCACAAAGTGCACTCCAACTTATGACCCCTACACGTGAGTTGCAGCAAGCACAACATTAATACGCGTAAAATTTAAGCTAACAGAGCTGGACAAAAATAATTCATTTAACTAAACATTTGTAAGTACCTCAGGTCGTCAAGCTCCAACACCACCATTTTTTGTCTTCCTACCAGAAACCACACGATCACAAACTTTCCCAATTCCTGAGATTAAACCAATGACGTCTACAAAAAAAAAACGCAGCAAAGAGTTTGTGAAAAAAACTTATGCAATAATAAAAAATGAATACAGAAACATAAAAAACACAGTTAATGAAAAAAATAATGATACAGAATAAGATTACTCGTGACAAAACATTAAAAACACAAAACTATAACCGCAAAGAGTTTAAAAATAAGGAAATAGTCATGATACAGAATAAACCAATGAATATCCTGTTTTTTTTTTCAAAAAACGTAAAGATTTGAATTAAACTGAATAAAGGTTAAAAAAAACGATTAGATTACATGATCAACATCAATTATTTAAAAAACAAAGATGACGACAAAAGAGTGATACAGTAGTTATAAATGAATTTTCATGGAATAAAACAGTCATTTGTTTTAATAACAATGAATATCCCATTTGTTTTTCAAAAAATGTAAAGATTTGAATTAAACTGAATAAAGGTTAAAAAAACGATTAGATTACATGATCAACATCAATTATTTAAAAAACAAAGATGACGACAAAGAGTGATTCAGTAGTTATAAATCAATGAATAAGCAATCTTGACCATTGATTTAAAGTAACAAATCCTGTCAATTGAAAATATAATTTTTTTTTGTATTTATTATATTCACCGATTTACCATTAAATGAAACTTTTTTAAATGTTGTAGTGTGAACACGTTGGTGACATTGAACCACAGTGCGACACGTCAGCAAGGTTTCCACAGAATGGAATTCCTTTATAATATAAGATATATATTTTTTGAGGGGTTAATGTTATTGTTATCGGATATTATTCTATTTACTCATATTTATCTTTTTTCATATTTATTCTAATTACTCATCTCAAATATCGTTAAAACAAAATTTCAAAAAAAGAAAAAATGGTGTTTGAGAAAGATAGGTAGAATAGTCATAATATCTTATGCACTTACAGTTGGCCCATTACACATGACTCAACCATTGATTTAATAAGCTCGTAGTCAACCAGAATTGTGGCCAAATAAGTATGGCTCAATTGTTCAAAGAAACAGTAATTTAAAATATAACAAATTACGATTTAAATACAAGTCCAAATGAAGCAGCAGATATGATTGTGATTTGTTTGACAAGAAAAGGAAAGCACCACAATTGGAATTGTTTGATATTTATGATTTGGGACGTGTTTTGAATTATTTAATTATAATTATTATTACTTTTAGAAGTTAATTACTATTATATTTATTTCAAAAAAATTATTATTTTTAAGATTTTATATTTTGAATTTTGAATTAATTTGTAATTAGTCTATAAAAGGGTCCTTAAGACCCTTATTATAGGAGTTGAATTTTATTATTTGTTAATAAAATTTGAGAACCATATGTTTCTTTTTTTTATAAAATCCTAACTTTATGTTTAGCCATATTTTCTGTGCGGTTTCGGCATCAGAGCAATAGGTTGTCTCAAACCAATGGCTGAACATAATCATAGAGGTCATCGATGCAGAGTCGTGAAGGCAAGGGACGTGGATCCATTCCTAAAGAAGACAGATAACCGCGTCAGATAGACCTGCATGACATAGAAAATAAAGAGCTCGGGAGGCGGATCTAGGATTGGAAACAACAATTTATGGAGGCGCAGAGCATGAAAATCCAATTTTTGGAGCGATTACTTGTGCAAGCGCAAAGCAAGAAAATTCAATATTTGGAGTGAAAACTCATGAGGGCCTGTACCGAGAAAATCCAAAATTTGAAGTGATAACTTGTGGAGGCGCAGAGCATGAAAATCTAACATTTAGAGCAGCGACTTGCATGGACAAAATCGGGCATTCAATCTGAAGAAGTAATGGATTTAAATGACGTATCTGATGACAAAGATGAGGACGTCAATCCCTTGGGGATTCTAAACCAAGGACATACACTTTTCAAGATATCGAGATACAAATCAACATTCCTGACTATGTCTACCATCATAACATAGTTTATGATGATTATCCGATTTATGATAAAAATTCAGTTTATGATACAGTCTATGATAAATCTGATGGAGAAACTCATGATGAAAATCTAATAGAGAAAAAAGTATCCATTGAATTATTACATAAAGCTAAAGAAGATTCGAGCACGAATATTTTCCTAGCAGTGGAGAATGATGCACTTACGATTGGCTCATTGCACATGGTTCAACCATTGATTCAATAAGCTCGTAATCAACCAGAATTGTGGCCCATCTCAATTATTGAAAAAAAAACAGTAATTTGAAATATAACAAATTACTATCAAATCAAAGTTCAAATAAAGTCGCAGATATGATTGTGATTTGTTTGACCAGAAAAGAAAATCAATACATTTGACATGATTTGAGATGTATTTGGAATGATTTAGTTGTAATAATTTTTTTTAGAAATTAATTACTATTATATTTTTTTTATGAAGTTTTCTTATTTTTAGAATTTAGAATTTTGGATTAATTTATAATTAGTCTAAAAAAGGTGTTTAAAACCTTTATTTTAGAAGTTCAATTTTGTTAATAGAAATTGAGAACCAGATGATTAATCTTTTATGAAATCTTAACTTTCTGTTTAGCCATGCGCTTTTGGCATTAATATCCTATCCCAATTTTATTTATCTCTTGTACACAAACTAAAGGTCCAATAAGTAGAATAGAAGAGAAAAAAAGTGGATTCATCCTCTTGTATTTGTGTACAGAAGATTAAGTTATCTCTTATTTACAGGAAAAATATTAAATTCAATTTTTTAATATATAAATTTAATTTTATAAAAATACGTTAATTATAAGATTAAATTAATTTATTATATACAATAAATAGGAATCTAAATCAATTTATAAAGCACGCTAAAATATAAATTTAATTTTTAAATATTAGTATAAATTAATTGTTAATTGTGTAATATTTATTTTAATATAAGAGTGAAAATTAAATTTAATTATTATAATAAAAAGTTAAATAAATATAAACATTATGAAAATCTATTTTTTAAATTATTATTATTATTACGTGTGTAAGTGTAAACATGAGCACGGGTATGCATTCATATATAAAATTTTAATTTACTTTAAATTAAAATAAAAATAAATTTTATTATAAAAATAATACAATTCTAATCAATTAATCAATTTTTATTTTCAGAAACGTAGTTAAATTATCAATATGTTGGATTATGATTTTAGCAATTGTACTACTTCAACTTTCCATCAACTTAAACATAAAGAAAAAACAAATTAATCATAACTTATAATTTAAAGATGCAATATGTTATTTTTTAAGGCTTGGTGGACTTAATTTAATAGTCTAGGCAATTGTATTTTTTAGTAACAAGTTAGATCAAACCTATAACATAGCTTGTATCAGATTAATAAGTAAAGTCAAACTTGAAATATTTACATTGTGACTAAAATTAAATTGACTTGCCTTATTCACACACCTAGCCATGAAATATTTCTTGTGTGCGCGCGTTGTGTGGGGATTCAAATGAATACCATATGATATGAGAAGGAAAATTCCTTGTTTGTTGATTTTTTTTTTTCTAGGCGGCACATCAATTGGTCGGGTTTGCTGTGACCTGTGAGTGGTTTGTAGTGATAAAATAATTGCTATCATTGTAATATTTCTTTTATTTTTTATGAGTATGGAGAACATTAAGCCCAGAAAATAACAGCACAAAGAAACAAAAAGGACATACAGACAAGTAAACAACTGGTATATAATCACATTAGTCATTTATTTTATTTTTATCAAATTGAAAATTTAAATATATACAACAATTACCAAATATTTCTACCTTGCATAAAATGGAAAATATCTAATTTGTCTTGATGGAGAAATACAAAGTGTGAATGAGAACTTTATCGGAATCAATTTTTTTTTTAAATTTATGTTTCCGGAAACAAAAATAGAAAGAAAACTCGTTTGATAAAACCAGATTATTTTGTTGTTTCAGGAATGAACCGATTTAATTTTTGTGATTGGGAATAAAAAAAAATCAATTTTTTTTGTTTTTATGTTTCTGGGCACAAAATGAGAAACACATGTTTCTCTCAATCACTCTCCACCTCTACCATCATCACCACCACCACAAGTATCCCGATACGACCACCGCCATCGTCGCCGCCGCCGTACCACTAGTGTCGTCGTCACCACCCCCACCACCGCGATGCCACCTCCACCATCACCACCACCTCTACCCATCACTACTACCATGTCATCGTCACCAACTCCACAACTAACGCCGCCACCACCACCATTATCACTGTTACCATCACTACTATCATCGCAACCATTGTCGTCACCGCCACCATCACCATCACCACACTATTGCCACCACCACTACCACCACTGTAACGCCTAGCAACTTGCATGGATCAACGACTGTTCCCACACACTAACACGAGACTTTTCAGCGTACTTTGTCCTCACTCGCACACTTCCTAGGAAAACTTTCCATGAGGTCACTCATCCCAAAATTGCCCCAAGTCAAGCACGCTTAACTATGGAGTTATTCCGTTCCGGATGTTACATGCCCACCAGCTTTCGCCTGGTTCGTCCTCAAACCACACAGTGCTGGAAGAGAGTCCTGCTCTAATACCACTTGTAACGCCTAGCAACTTGCAAGGATCAACGATTGTCCCCACACACAAACACAAGACTTTTCCGCGTGCTTTGTCCTCACTCGCACACTTTCCGAGAAAACTTCCCAGGAGGTCACTCATCCCAGAATTGTCCCAAGTCAAGCACACTTAACTATGGAGTTATTCCGTTCCGGACTACCGAAAAGTATATGCATCTTGTTAGTATATATTAGAGTAGCATTAATTTGTTAGGATCCTGATTGTAACTATCACGGTTTGTTACCTTGTATATTAAAATAGATTAGCTTGATTTATGCTTTCTGTTCCTTAGTTTTAGCTGATTTCCTGATGTAAATAGATTAGCTTGATTTATGCTT